AAACCCCCCCCCCCCCCCCCAAGTCATGTCTTCCCTGCCTTCAAATGTTATTCCCACTTAACACTGCCCAGTGACCCTGCAGAAGAGAAACTTTGAGACAGACATGCTGTCTGTCTCCTCAGTGCCATTTGATTCACCTTCTTAAGCCCTTCAAACATTATTAATTGCAAATTTTATGATTAAATAAAAATTATTTAATGTGCCTAAGTGAATATGCCATATACATATGGTTTAGTAATTGGGTGCTAATGGCACCCAAAATACAAAATATCCTGATTTTCAGCCACCTTATCCACATTGTAGCCCTGAAAATCTGTATGTGCACACTCACTGACTTGTAGTTACGTTCCGGTTCATCTTTCCTGGGAGGCAAGAGTGTCAGACTACCTTAATGAAGAGCCTTATTTTGTCTTGCTGCTATCTCCCCACCTCTTTTAGGCTACTCTTCAGAACTTCTTTTCTACACTTCCTTTCTCATCTTGTCAACATCAGCTCTTTGATGCCATTTAATTTCCAAGGACATCCACCACTTATTCTAACTGACATTAATATTGTTGGACCATGGAGATTTAAAAAAAATATGGCCTAATAAATGTATAAACATTACCAAGAGAGGCAGAACAGGTAAAAAAAAAAGGCTGAATGTCAAGAATTAAATGAATTACTGTTTATAAAGCCTCTGGCAAGATGTACATTTACAGATGCTGATGCCACATAAATATTAATCCCCGTACTTCTTTTGTTCCCATCACGTCATCTTTCTGGTCCTCAGTTTCCTAATGTTAAAAATTAAGAGCATTGCACCAAGTTTCTTCGTGTTGAAAAATATTTTTCCCCCAGTCTCTCCACACTGAGTATTTGGAAGTGGGTGGTGGGTGGAAAGATTATTTCTGCCCCAGACAGGCCGGGAGTGGGGGGGTGGAGGGTGGGGGCAGGTCCCCCTGCCAGGCGCTCACCTTTATCTCACTTCGCGGCCACGATTCAGGCAGCGGCCAGCAGGCCTGAACGCAGGTAACAGGTGGCTGGTGTTACTTACCTGTCTCCACGTCTCATCCTCCTTCGTGGGACACACAGTGCTGCGGCTGACTCCACACTGAAGTAGCCCAGGGGCCACCAGCAAGTCCTCCGCAAAGCTCGGAGCAGAAGAGAGAAAAATCAAGGGCAGCTTCCTCTTAAAGGCTTAAAAAAAAAAAGAAAACAAAGAAGGGCCCCCAACCCGTCCCGAGAGTGGCCAGCGCAGCCTCATGCACCCCGGGCGCCACACCCGCCTTCATCCTGGAGAATATTGTTTTAAAGCACAAATAAGAATACACTTAGAACAATGCTATGCAAAGAAGCCAGAAGCAGACCTCTGTCCTGAGGAATTCATTGCGGGGAATGTGCATTTCATGTATCATTTTCCAGGAACGAGCAGACCTAACATACTTCAGCTAGTGTATCCCATCACCAGACAGAACTCTGTAATGCACTTTTCCCAAACCCATAAAGTTGCTGCTCTACTCACGAGGATAATCCTTTGGGTGCGTCTTCTCAGACCAATTCCCATAAAAGGTGAGTCTGTACTTGGCAGTCCCGCAGGCGCAGCAGTCTAGGATTGGCTTGTCTGTCACCCCGTCAAACATGGAATCTGAAACAGGAAGGAAAGGCAGCAAGGTAGGAAACAAATGTGGGTCTTGATCTCGTCCTTAACGCTTGGGGAAAAACATATGAGGTGCAGTTTTCATTGATTAATAACACAGAGAACCAGGTCAGGACTTGGCCTATAAAGGATTCTGTATACCTCTCAGTATGGCAACCACATTCTGTAATCAATCAATCAATCAATAAATTACTTTTGCTCTTATCAAGTGAGGAGACCTGTGGGATCAAGAAGGCAGAATATTTGGGATGGAGATTGTATTGAGAAACCAGAGATAAATCTGACTAAGTTCACTAATCATCCGAGAAATGCAAATCAAAACAACAATCGGGTCCCGCGGGCGGGGGCGGTCTGGTCTGGGCCACAACCAAGCTGTTCACTTTTTAAAAAGGTGAAGGGAGTGGACACGTTTGGCAAAACTGAGGATTGACTACCCTTTTGGGATTAGTCTCTACCTAGAATTGGAGAACAGGGTTGGCCTGTGTCAGCTCCCAGAAAACTTACTACATAATTGACTCCGCTTGGCTGTCCCCCAACTGCATTTCCTTTAAAAATTAAAAACAAAACCAAGGGGTCCCGTTCTATTCCCTCTCCCCCCGAGGCGGTTGAGGGATTGGAGTCTAACTCCACCCGAATGTTTAAAAAAATTTTTTTTGAGTATTGTTAGAAAGTTTTGTATTAAGTTGTCCGTTTTTGCTTGGGGCCAAATTACAGTTCTATGAATTCCTGATTGATCTGAGTAACTTTTGGTCTGGACCAGTTTTTGTAAAGGAAGTTAAAAAACTGATCACTGTACCTAGTAAAGTTTATTTTACTGTTGTTTTTATAATATCTTCATTAGTACGATTTTATCAATAAGCTACATGGCTTAATATCTACAGATGGGCAGTTTATGCATCGTGCTTAGAGTTTACATAATTTTAAACTTTAAGAAATTTGAAATATATTTTTATGACAACTTGATTTTTCTTTTTTTAACCCACAATTCTCACAGTTGATGTGGTGGAAGTAATCTGGAAAAAATTCTTGTATGAATGAATTGATACAACTTTGCCATAATTAATTCTTGTCAACTTTAGGATGGAGTATTTCCTCTAGTGTGGAAAGCCAAATTTAAACTCCATTAAAAGAATGTTTGGCCTTTTAAAATTTCTTCTAAGTAGTGATTTAATTTCCTTAGGACAGCAACTGTATTAAATGAGTACCACATATAAAGAGACCAATGCAACATATTGTTTATAATAGGTGCTCATTAAATTAGAAGTTCCAGATGACATTTCTAGTGTTATTATTTTAGACTTCCATTATCTTAACCTACTCTTTAGATTTTTTTGAACTACATGAATACTCATTTTTAAATTTATGCATTTAAAGGCATCTAAAGGATGTTAAAAGGTATGTCTTGATCACTGCTATAGTCACAAGCACCTGAAAGAAGTGTCTAGCATATGAGAAAGTTAATAAGTATTGCATTTTAAAGAAATGAGTGAGTGAATGAGTTTAAAAAAGAAAGCCGTTACCCAGTCCTATACTGTGTTGACAGGCAAAAACATTTTTATCTATTTATTTATTTAATATATTTATTGTCTAAAGTTTTACATTTGTCTTTTTCCCTGATTCACCCCCCCCCACCCCCGCGATTCCCACTCCCAAGGTCTAGCCCCCATCGCCCCCGTTATGCTAATATGACAGGCAAAACATTTGTCAATAATTTCTCCTTTATGCTGTGAACTAATATCGGGTAGAGGATTTATGTTTTATTTATTATTTTAAAAAATATTTTTATTGATTTTTAGAGAGAGGGAGGGAGAAAGACATCTATGTTACAGGGTAACGTGGATCTGCTGCCTCCTGCAAGCCCCCTACTGGGGATGGAACCCTCAAGCCTGGTTTGTGCCCTGATGGGGAATCAGAACCAGCAATTTTTTGGTGCATGGGATGACCCATGCACCAGGGTGAGGCTTTGTGCTTTAGATAATGGATTAAAAATACAAACAGAAGGAAGATTCACATTTCTTAGAGCCAGGCTGTATACTGTTACTGACTATAGTAGGGAAACACACACACACACACACACACACACACACACACAAATTGTAACCAGCTATTTGGCAATAAGGCTTAGAAGGATTTTGCCCCAGAAAAATAGAATAGTATTGTGTGTTTTTCCACATGAAAGAAATCTAAATTTGGTCATCACTCTCTTTTAAGAAAACGTTTGGAAGACCACCAGTTCTTGTTTTGTAGGTTCAGGATAGTTTAAGAGACTAGGTCAGGTTTAGAGGACTTCTAATTTAGGCTGTGGTTCATACCATGATACTGCTTTAAACCCAGAAATATTTAAACAGTGTTTTCTTTGTTTCCCAAGTTCGTGTAATACTTGTGGGATTTACCTACTCAGCAGTTGTCAGCATTGGTTTCAGTTAGCTCAGAAATGTAGGACTGGGCCTTTGATCATGGTTAAAGCTCTTAAGGTAATTCTAAGATGCATCCAGGGTTAAGAATTGCTGCTGTTGTTCAGGAGCATTTTCCGTAGAAATTCATTCTGTGTTAGAGGCTGGACAAGAGAACAGATTTAAGTTAAATAGGATATGTGTGTACTATATTAATATATATATATTTATATATGTATATGTAGTGCGTGTGTGTATATATATGTGTGTGGGTGTGTGCAGTAGTATTGTTAGATGATTAGTAAAAAACAGTAATGCATCTAGACAAGGTACTGGATTGCCTCTGCTGTCAGCAAACTGCGGCTGGGCAAACCACGGCTCGCGAGCCACATTCGGCTCTTTGGCCCCTTGAGTGTGGCTCTTCCACAAAATACCGACTCTTCCACAAAATACCGACTTCTGTGCATGGGCCATGAAGTTTCAATCACACTGTACTTGCGCGCCTGCACATGGTATTTTGTGGAAGAGCCACACTCAAGGGGCCAAAGAGCTGCGATTTGTTGACCACGGCACTGAGCCAAACCAGCTAGGGCGATTAGTAAACATTTTAAAACTATATCAATTCTTAATTAAATTTATCAGGGTAACATCCTATATAATAAAAGAGAAACATGCAAATTAACCATCACTCCGCTACACACCAGCCAATCAGCAACTATGCAAATTAACCCAACAAAGATGGCGGTTAATTTGCATACGCAGGCGTGGAGTGAAGACTGAAGACGACTGAAGATGGCAGCGGCCACGGAGCCAGGAGCGAGCAGGAGGCTTGGGTTGCTCCCGGCAATGGAGGAAGCCAAGCTTCCCGCTGGCCCTGGACTCTGCTCAAGGAGTGGCTGGGGACCTGGGTCACCAGGGGCGACCCAGACTTCCAGCCCGCCCTGGGCTCCGCTCAAGGAGGTGGAAAAAAAAAGGAGGGGCTGGGAGCAGCTAGAACCGAGAAACCAAGCTTGCTGCTGCTGCCGCAGCGGGGAAGACAAGCCTTGCTGCTGCGGCTGGACTAAAGGCCTGCATCCCGGGTGCTGGAGAAAAACCGGTGCCGGCAGCCAGGGGAAGGAAGGCCTATTGCGCAAATCTTCGTGCAATGGGCCACTAGTTGGTTAATAAAATTATGTAGGTTACGTTTCAATTCTTTATTCTAGTACAGTGTATAACAAGTAGAGCATATAACAAAAGCTGAGGTGCTCAAGTACCATCATTCTTTTTTTAAAAATATATTTTTATTGATTTCAGAGAGGAAGAGAGAGGGAGAGAGAGAGATAGAAACATCACTGATGGGAGAGAATCATTGATTGGCTGCATCCTGCACACCCCTCACTGGGGATCGAGCTGGAAACCCCAGGCATGTGTCCTGACTGGGAATTGAACCGTGACCTCCTGGTTCATAGGTCAGTGCTCAACCACTGAGCCATGCTGACTGGGTGCCATCACTCTCATATATGAAAGATGTTCCAGACAACTAGAATGGAAAGCTTCAAAGAAGTTCATGAATTTTCTGTGATAGTTTTGTTTTTTTAAAACACAGATAAATGAGCTAATGTACCCGTGTTTTCCCTGTTCAAACACACAATGGGTAATATTTGTCCCATAGGATTTCAGTGACTGAGTTAAGGCCGTTAGGTTTCTGTGAGACCTACCTGCAGCTTACCCTGTCTTTGTACTTAGTGTACATTAGTGTTAGATTATTTATGTTTTTAGAATTTCTATTAGACTTATTAGTTCCTTAGGTATTATCTATATATATTAAAAGCTAAGTGACCATCTCTCTGGCCTGTAGCTATGACATACATTGACCACCAGGGGACAGACACTCAACGGAGGAGCTGCCATGACACGCACTGGCCATTTAAAAATAAATGGCACCATGATCTTGCACGGACAAACCAACACGTGACTTCCCCCAAGTGGGGCACATGACCCACCACTACCTGGGAGCGATACCCCACCAAATCGCAGCCAACACTGCCAAGGCCCCATGACGTAAAATGCAGCCCACAGCCCAGCCCAGCCTGGAAACTGTGGCTGTGGGCACTGGGTAATGACATCACAAGCAACACCCGACTTCCTCTCCCTAGCAACTAGCCTCTTTGGAGTTTCTTCAGCCCAGGAACACGACTTGCTTTATAGCCAGGTGCAAACATTTCAATTTAACCAAATGTTTGTGAAGTGTTTTCCCGTGCCTCATTTCATTTGATCCTCACAGAAGTCCTGGAGTAGGTAGATAGGAGACTTGGTGGAATCCTATTTTCTTTTCATTAGCAAGATACATATAGTGATATTAAAATATTTCTTCTAATTAATTTCCTTTCAGTGTGCATGAATTCGTGCACCAGGACACTAGTTTTTTATAATGATAGTAATAATTACAACCTTTATGTATTGCTTAGTCTGTGCCAGATACTGCTTGACAGCTTTTCATTCATTTAGTGCTCAGAATAACCCTATGGGTAACATTATCCTTACTTTAAGACAAAGAAATGAGGCAGAGAGGGGAGAAATGATGTGTCCAAGGTCATAAAGCCAACAAATGATCAGTGGAAACTCCATTGTTTACTTGACTAGCCATTAAACATTAACTAGTCTGGGGTTGCCTTCTGGAGCAGGCTGTCTTATCATTGCAGTCCTTTCTGAGAAGGAACTTCATTTGTCTTTAGTAGATTGGACTTCTCTGAGTAGATTATTTCTGTGGGAGGAGAAAGAGAAGAGTGAACTAAAGAGAGTTTAAAATTTGATGAGACCAAATAAATCAGGATACTTGTAACATGTATCATAGTATCAGTTGGGCCTCAGATTGATTGAGGGCAATATCATCTTTTGTAGAGCAGTTGTCATCCTTGACAATCCAGTGTCTCTCTCATCCCATATCTAGTCTGCTAGGAAAGCATGACTCTCTACCTTCAAAATATATCCAGAATCTGATAATTCTTTTTTAAAAAATATATTTTTATTGATTTCAGAGAGGAAGGGAGAGGGAGAGAGAGATAGAAAGATAGAAACATCAGTGATGAGAGAGAATCATTGATCCGTTGCCTTCTGCACACCCCCTACTGGGGATTGAGTCTGCAACCTGGGCATGTGCCCTTGACCAGAATCAAACCCAGGATCCTTCAGTCTGCAGGCCAGTGCTCTATAGAATGAGCCAAACTGGCTAGGGCTAGAATCTGACACTTCTTAAAACCTTTCCTCCTGCTCTTCTGATTTAAGTAGCCTAACTGGTCTCCCTGTTTCCACCCTTGCCCACTACAGTTTGTTCTCAATACAGCAGCTGTGGTGAGCTCCTTTTTGAAATTTAACACATCACTCTGCTCAAAACCTGCAGTGACTCCTCATTTCACATGGAGTAAAAGCTTTACAATGTACTTTTACAATGGAGGCCTTACACTGGGCTCCAAGGCCCTTTGTGATCTGCTTGCCCTCCTCAGTCACTTGCTAGCTTATTCCAGCCACATGAAGTTTTGAAGCTTGCTGTCAATACAACAAAATAGCATACATATCAAATCACATATATATCAACATGTGTAACTCCATTTATTGAAAAAAATCTGCATTATTAACTGGTACACCTGGTACATAGTTATTAGAATATTATTGACTATATTCCCTATGCTGTACTTTACATTCTACATGACCATTCCGGAACAATTTGTACTTCTTAATCCCTTCACCATTTCTCCAAGGTGGAAACTGTTAAAATGTTCTCTGTAGCTATGCATCTGTTTCTGTTTTGCTTGTTCATTTATTTTGATGTTTTAGATTCAGTTGTTGATAGATATATATATATCGCCATTTTATTGTTCACATTTTTTATCTTTTTTTTTTTTTCTTAAAGAAGACCCTTTAACATTTCATGTAATACTGGTTTGGTAGTGATGAACTCCTTTAGCTTTTTCTTGTCTGGGTAATTATCTGACCCTTGATTCTAAATGATAGCTTTGCCAGGTAGAGTAATCTTGGTTGTAGATCCTCGCTTTTCATTTTTTAAATATTTCTTGTGCCAGTGTCTCCACTCTTCAAAATTTCTATTGAGAAATCTTACGGGAACTCCCTAATAGGTAACTAACTGCTTTTCTCTTGCTGCTTTTATATCTTTAACCTTAGCCATTGTAATTATGATGTGTTTTGGTGTGGGTCTCTTTGGGTTCACCTTGTTTGGGACATTATGCACCTTCCGGACATGTATGTTTAATTCCTTCATGAAATTTTGTCATTTTTTTCAAGTAGTTTTTTTCCCTTTTTATGTTTACATGCAATAATCATTAACATTTCAAGAAAAATGATTTTAAATATATGCAATAAACATTAATGTTTTAAGAAAAAAGATTTTAAATATAATAATATTACCAAAACTGTACTAATCTATATATATCAAAGCCTAAGCAACCGTTTTGACGAATGACCAGAATAACCAGAACAACCGCTCTACCAGTTGCTATTATGCACACTGAACACCAGGGGCAGATGCTCAATGCAGAAGCTGCCTCCTGGTGGTCAGTGCGCTCCCACAGCCAACCTCCTGAAGGTGGCCAACCTCCCAGCCAATTCTCCCATTGGCCTCCATAGGTGTGGGGTGGTGCCAGCTGGCCAACCTCCTGCAGCCCCTCCTGCTGGCCAGCCAGGCCCCACAATAGGGGCCGAGTGGGGAGTTGGCCAGCCTCCTGGGGCTCCTCCACCTGGCCAGCCAACCTGCTATGGCCCCTCCCCCCAGCTGATCCTCCAAAAGGCCTTGATCCCCAGGTGGGCCAAGGGACCCTACCGTGCACAAATTTATGCACTGGGCCTCTAGTATAGTATCACAAAAGTTGTGGAAAATATTAAAAATTTGCAAATAACAGGAATACTCCTATTATATTCTAACATTTTTTTACTCTGGCTCTATTTTTGTTCTTCATTTTTTTAAAAAAAATATGTTTTATTGAATTTTTATAGAGAGGAAGGGAGAGGGATAGAGAGTTAGAAACGTCGATGAGAGAGAAACACCAATCAGCTGCCTTCTGCACACCTCCTATTGGGGACGTGCCCACAACCAAGGTACATGCCTTTGACCTGAATTGAACCTGGGACCCTTCAGTCTGCAGGCCGACACTCTGTCCACTGAGCCAAACCGGTCAGCGCTTTTTCATCATTTTTGAGGAAACGCCATACTGTTTTTCACAGTGGTTACACCAGTCTGCACTCCCACCAGCAGTGGCTTGTAATTCTCTTTGTCGTGTCTTTATCTGGTTTTGGAATTATGGTAATTCTGGCCTCTTAAGAAGAGCTTGGAAATATTCCTTCCTCTTGGATTTTTTGGAATAGTTTGAGGAGGATATGTATTCTTTGAATATTGTGAAACCCTGGGGACCATGGCTCTTGTTTGCTGGGAGTTTTTTGATTACTGCTTCAATTTCATTTTTTGTTATTGGCCTATTTAAGTTTTCTGCTTCTTCCTGATTCAGTTTTTGAAGATTGTATTTTTCTAGATAAAAGTAATTGATATACTTTTTCTCCGCATCCTTGCCAACATTTACAGTTTGTTTATGATAGCCGTTCTGACAGGTGTGAGATGGTACCTCATTGTCGTTTTGATTTACATCTTGGATGAGTAGTGATTTTGAGCATGTTTTCATATGTCTCTTGGCCTCTGTATATCCTCTTTTGAAAAGTGTCTATTTAGGTCCTTTGCCCATTTTTTGATTGGATTGTTTATCTTCCTTTTGTTAAGTTGTATGAGCTCCCTGTAAATGTTGGAGATTAAACCCTTATTGGTGATAACATTGGCAAATATGTTCTCACATACAGTGGGCTTTCTTGTTGTTTTGATGATGGTTTCTTTTGTTGTGCAGAAGCTTTTTATTTTGAGGTAATCTCATTTGTTTATTTTTCTCCTTAGTTTCCATTGCTGTAGGAGCTGCATTGGTAAAGATAATGCTACAACCTATGTCTGAAATTATGCTGTCTATAGATTCTTCTAAGATTTTTATGGTTTCCCTTCTTATGTTTATAAGTCCTTTATCCATTTTGAGTTTATTTTTGTGTATGGTGTAAGTTGGTGGTCTAGTTTCATTTTTTTTTGAAATACTAATGTTTATTGCATGTAAATGCTAATTATTTTGTTCTACAATCTGATATTAGATTTTTTTTGTCCTCTTTCGAAAAGTGTCTATTTAGGTCCTTTGCCCATTATTTGATTGGGTTGTTTATCTTCCTTTGGTTAAGTTGTATGAGTTCCCTGTAAATTTTGGAGATTAAACCCTTATTGGAGATAACAATGGCAAATATGTTCTCCTAGGCCAGTGGTTCTCAACCTTCCTAATGCCGCGACCCTTTAATACAGTTCCTCATGTTGTGGTGACCCCCAATTTCATTGTTACAAATTGAACATAATTAAAGCATAGTGATTAATCACAAAAACAATATGTAATTATGTATGTTTTTTCCGACCCCTGTGAAAGGGTTGTTCGACCCCCAAAGGGGCTCGACCCACAGGTTGAGAACCGCTGTCATAGGCAGTGAGATTTCTTGTTTTGTCGATGGCTTCTTTTGCTGTGCAGAAGCCTTTTGTTTTGATGTAGTCCCATTTGTTTATTTTCTCCTTAGTTTCCATTGCCCTACAAGCTGTATTGATAAAGATGGTGGTATGACAAATATCTGCTGTTTTGCTGCCGATGGCTTTTTAAAAGATTTTTATGGTTTCTTCCTTACGTTTAAGTCCTTTATCCATTTTGAGGTCATTTTTGTGTATGGTGC